CCATCCATCCATCCATCCATCCATCCATCCATCCATCCATCCATCCATCCATCCATCCATCCATCCATCCATCCATCCATCCATCACACAGGAGATATTTCAAACTGGGCACCATTTCATTCACAACACCTGTCCCACCAACCAGGAACCAGAACCAGATGTTTACAGTAAAAACAGGAAGATATCAATCTGTGGATTATTTGAGGATCTTAGTACTGAATGCCCAATAACAAGGTCCATTTACACATGGCACTATAGGACCACCACAATCTCATACAATATATATATATAATTAGGCACTATAGGACCACCACAATCTCATACAATATATATATAATTAGGAGGTCCCAAATCCATCTTGCCATCAGTTTGGAGGTCCTTGGCCTGGAAAACATTGAAGCTAGTTCTAGTTCCTTGAGTTTTGCCTGTTCCAGACTAGAGTTGCTTAGCCTGCTATTGCTCATCACACAGACAGGAGCTGGCCCAGAGACTCGGGGACCCCCAGGGAGCTCACCGGTGTCGCTGAAGTCGATGAACTCTTTGGAGAGCAGGTTTGTGAGCAGCTCCATGATGAGCAGCAGGTCCTGGTACTGGTCCTCCTCGGCCGAGGCGTCGCTCCGCTTCCTGCTCTGGTTGTTTTTGGAGTAGACCTGCAGCAGCGTCAGACACGCCTCGTACAGCTTCATGGACTTCGTCTGGAAAAGTGGAAAAACAGGTCACGTTTCACGTTTCCCTCCCCCGCTCTCGGTTCGGTCGGCTTTAAGATTAAAAACTGAACCGGATGTTTGGTTCAAGACCCTGTCTAACACTCGGGCCATGGAAAAATTGACTTATGTTAAAAAGGGGAAGCTACAAAGTTTCTACAAAGTCTGGGAACAATTTACAGACTTCTCGGAAAGCCAGCAAGATGTACAAGATGCATAGGCTGTATCTTTCAACTTTCTGATTTTGTAATATAGATATTGTAAGAGGGTTTTTTTTATTTTCTCTTTCTCTCCCTCTCTTTTCTTTCTTTTTTTTTCTTCAATGTCTTCTATGTTGCTAAACATGTATTTTTGATCTAAGTTGTTGTAAAAGTTGAATTTAATAAATAAAATTAGAAAAAACAAAAACAAAAAAAAACTGAACCTTAAATCTCTCATATGCTTAGAGGCCTGATCAGGTCTCCTTCCTGTTACAGCTCTTAGTCTTCAGGACAAAACTAGCCGAGTAAAAATCTCCTGAAGAACTCTACATTCGTGTCATAGCAAATGCACCCAAACAGGGGAAATGTTCTTAGGTCGTTGATCATTTTGTGCCAGTGCTTGTTAATCTGAGTCAGTTTACAGAGAAAAAATCTCCTGATCCTCTCTGAACTGTGCGCCTCCACAGAAGCAGCTGAGTCATCTGAAGGCCTCACCTCTCCCAGGTAGCAGATTTGCTTGTGGGCCACTTCCACAAAAACCTCGATGATGAGGTTGATCGTCTCCGGCGTGTTGCTGTAAACCTGGAAGAAGAAACCACCTGATTAGGCTGGTCCAGATCCGATATTTGCAAAAAAATGCCAGAAAATGCAGATCCAGACTCCCGATCCAGTTTATTTTTTAAAGTCCGATCCAACACAAGCATTAGCATTAGCATCTCCTAACCCACAGGTCTGTGTCCTAAACCATTAAGTTATCAGAGTAAATCCCTGTTCAACATGAGTCTGACACCTAAGTGAGTAGATAAATAACTTCAAACTTTAATACACGTTTTACTGAGAGGAGCAGCTTAGGGGGAGGAAATCCTCCATGAGGCCGAGCTCTTACCTCCATGAGGCCGATGCAGCTGGACAGGAAGTCCATGAGGAAGGAGAAGAGCGAGGCCACGTTGTCCATCTGCGTTGCCTCGGCGATGCCGCACAGCGCCTCCAGCGTGGCCACGATCTCCCGCTTCACGGCCTCCTCCTGGCTGATCTGGGCAAAGTTCTCCTGGTTGATGAGGTTGAGAAACCGCTGCTGGAGGGGGTGAAGCACCTGGATGGAGGGATGGAGGAGAGGCCGGGTCAGAGTCTGGTGCCTTTCCTGTGGGGCGGCGTTCCCTTTACATCCACAGCAAAAAAGCACAAATCTGTTTTAAAAATGACAACTTAGAGCATCTGCTAGTCAGCTCTTTGTTTTTGTTTGTCCCAAAAATATCAGAAACTAAATGTGTGTTTAATCATGAACACAGAAATCAATTAAATCAGAACAAAGTTACTGATAATTACAAATGTTCTATCAAAGAATGGCGAACATGAACTGATCATAATATATAATCAGTATAATTCCAATATGATCAGACTATTTCCCTTCTTTTTAGAATAAATGTGCACTATTCTGCCTGTCTGTATTTTCTAAGAAAAAAAAAACTTTTATCCTTAGTAATGTTAAATCTGCCAAGAAATAAACAGCATTCAAGCGCTGATGTAAATGAACTCTCTCTTTATGTTTATGCATTTAGAAGACGCTTTCGTCCAAAGCGACTTACAAAGTATTCACAATTGTACAGTTATCATCAACATGACAATACGTTCTCTAGAGGAAAATCCCCAGTCAGAATCAGTGGTGACAGCAAAGAGAGAGAGGGGAAAATGCAGAAAGAGGAGTAGAGGGGTACAGAGGTCTGGGTAATAGTTGGGATAGGAAATGCTCTGTGAAGAGGTTGGTCTTTAAGAAAATATGCAAACCTGTTCTGAGTCTGAAACCTGCTAATAAAGCCTGGCCTTTCCTTAAAGCAGCCTTGTGCCGTACTAAAAGCTTCCCCTGTAATCTGGAGGCTCCTCTTTCTTTCTCCTCACTCAGACCGAACAGCTGTAAGAAGCAGCAGCTGCTGTCTCACTCCAACAACCCCCCCCCCAACCCCCCATTCAAACAATTACTCTGGAGTCGCTGTGGCTTTGCACCCCTATTTACTACTGTCAGCCTATTAAGACAAAGACCTCCAGGATCAGGACGAGGATCGAGTTATACACACGGGGGACAGACTCCAGCAGGTCATTACCCGGTGCCTCCATCAGACCTCACCAGCCCCATGCAGCTTTTTAGGAGGGAGAAATGAGCTAATCTGCAGAAATACCCGCGTCCTCTGGGTCTCAATGGAAGGTGCTGCTCTGTGACTAATCTGAAGGCAACTAGGTGAGTTCTGGTTCAGTCCTCACAGCCTCTTGCATCACTTTGACCTTTTGAAAAGAAAGCTAGTGAACTCACCTCGGCCCAGTACTGCTGTTTGGTGTCAGAGTCCATGTTGGCGAAGCCCCCCAGAACCAGCGCCTTCATCAGGGATCTCTGCACGGAGCTGGACAGCTGGTGGAGGGGCGGGCTGCGGCTGGCGAACTGCTTGGCCAGGCTCCACCAGCTCTCGCACTGCACCACGATGTTGGCCCTGTGGGAGAGAGGCGGGCGGGCCGTCACGGGGCGCCCCGAAACCAGCAGAACCGCTGGTTCAAGGACCACAATAAACCCGCCATCTTGTACTGCTGCAAGGACCTCACACGTTCAGCACAAACAGGCGATGTTTCCACACAGATAAACAACATAAACCACCAGAGTCTTACCACTTAAAGTCTTGTCCCTATCTGATATTTGGATTTGGATGCCGACACACACACATATATATTTTTTGTGTGTTATTAAATATGTTATTAAATGAGGCCAACATGAGAACACAGAATATTCTAGGAATGTCCCGATCCTATATTTGGATCGGATGCCCATATTTGCAAAAAAATGCGTATCCAGACTCCTGATCCAGTTTTTTTTTTTTTAAAGTCCGATCCCACACGAGCATTAGCATTAGCATCTGCTAACCCACAGGTCTGTGTCCTAACCATTAAGTTGTTATCAGAGTAAATCCATGTTCAACATGAGTCTGACTACTAAGCAAGTACATAAATAACTTTAAACTTTAACACATGCTCTGATAGGCTGGGATCGGGAGTGCAAAGAGCTGGATCGGGACATCTCTACTGGTGGGTGTTTAAAGTGCTGAGCCCAAAGCCTTTTGACTGATTCGGGGAAGCAGCGGGCCGTCCTCACCTCTCCCGTTTCTCCACCAGCGTCACCAGGAGCTCCACCGTGTCGTTGGCCAGCTCCGTCTCCGAGCTCCACACCGACAGGTTGTTGATCACCTTCTCCAGCAGATATCCCACAATCCACTGGGCGCCCTCCGTGTCCGCCCCGAACGCCGTGCTCAGGGGGATGCTGATCTGGGGGGGGGGGGAGGGGGGGGGAAACAGAGATGAGACACCTGGTGGAGAAGGGTTTGGGCGTGGTGCTGCCAACTCCTTACCTGCTCGTAAAGCTTCTCGTCCACCAGCAAGTAGGTCTTGGCCCATCGGCGGAGGAACCACACGATGTCTTTCCCCATCTGCGGGCTCAGGAGCTCCGTCAGACTCGCTCTGGTCGCTCTGGACTCCACCTCCGACGTCCGTAAAACTGCAGAGAGCAACCTGAGGCAGACGGACAGAACAGAACAGAGCCGTGATCAGACGAAAGGCTCTGCTTCTTATCCTCTTTTAGGAGCTTTTAGCGCCCATCGGAAACTAAGTGACCTGTTGGTCCTGTTTAACAAATCCAAACAGCTCTGTTGGGACATGTAACCTCTTAGGTTTCATGTGAATCACTGGACAGTTTCCAGCTAAATAGAGCCAGTAAATGTTGGTAATAACAGGAAAAACTGAAGCACGTCGTCGTTAATAAATCCAGTAATTACAGCCCTTCTCTATAAGTACTTGTTCGGCTCTACTCGACTCGGTTTAGGTTTAGTACCACCACCGTTTTGTGTTTTGAAACGATCGCAGAAAGGATAAATCCAGGTTTGCTGTTGTCAGGTCTTTTTTGTTGGCGGGGTTCTTCAAAATGGCTCATCTCTGGGTTTGAAGCCTGGTCCAGTTGGATCTCAACTGTGGCTGCTACCAGGTGCTAACAGCTAATTAAAAACAAGTCATGCTGTTTTAGCTTCCACTGGGAAGGGACAGAAATAATCGTGAGTGCGATTGGCTGATTTAATCCTACAACCCGCTCCCCATCTTTCTTTAATCTGGTAACTTTTTGCATCCTGCTGGTATCTCTTCTCTCTGGCCTCCATTACCGAGGCTCAGAAGTACATCTGGCTAACGTCGGCATGTCCGCGTGAGTGGAGGTAGGAAAAAGGACAGAGAGACAGAGGGCTTAGGGCGGCTTATGGCCGCCTCTTTCTCGCCCGGAGGACGGCGCACAGTTTCACATTGTTTGCAGAAAACAAAACCGCGCTGACATTTATCCGGCCGGGGTCGGCCGCCCGCCATCCGGGAACCCGATGCCGCCGGCCACTCGTCTCTGCAATCCTCTGTCATCGCTGTCATCCCTCTTTCACACTCATAAACACACACTCCCGCCCATCGGGGGGGGGGCAGAAAACAGGGGCCTCGCTGACCTTCAGCGGACGCCTCGCTGACCTTGTGGCTGTTCTGACCGACTGCTGATAATTACAAATATTTACGCCGCTGTGCTGAGACCTCTGAGTCTTTCCACAGTAAAAAAGCACAAGTCTGTTTTAAAATGACAACTTAGAGCATCTGCTTGTCGGCTCTTTGTTTTTGTTTGGCCAAAAAATATCAGAAACTAAATGTGTGTTTAATCATGAACACTGAAATCAATTAAATCAGAACAAAGTTACTGATAATTACTAATAGCGAACATTAACTGATCATTATATATAATCAGTATAATACCAATATAATCAGACTATTTCCCTTCTTTTTAGAATAAATGTGCACTATTCTGACCGTCTGCATTTTCTAAGAAAAAAAACAACCTGTATTCTTAGTAATGTTAAACCTGCTGAGAAATAAACAGGGCTGAGCTAATTTAAATTAACAATTTAAAGATTTTCTTTCCATTGTTTCATCCTGACCTTTTCTGTTCTGGCTTAATCTTAATGAGTGATTATCGGAGGCCAGAACGGCACCGGGCCGCACGGCTAATTGCTGCAGAAACCCAAATGTGATGTGATCTGGTACCAGCAACTAGAGTTACACTTTGCACGCTTGGCTCTTGGATCTAATTGCGTGCATATTTCCGGAGCCACCAGGAGTATCCGGGCTGTGTGTGGAGGAACAGTTTCCATGGAGGACTCGTTGCCATTTTTTCGTTTTGCTGCGATTCGCTGAAGACAGCAAAGTAATCGCTGCGTTATATTAAAGATATTTAAGATATTAAAGCTCGTTTCTGCCTGCTGTCAATGACGGTTTCTCCAGTTTTTGACCATTTTGTGGGGAAACAAACTACAATCCATCTGAGAGCTAAACAATGAGACAGTGAAGCCGTTACTTTGTTATAACTGCAGATTTGAAAAATACGTGACAAAATAAAAAAAAAGATGATCATTTTATGCATCACTGCTTATTCCAAAAAATCATTTTGTTTGCTTTGGTCTGTGTTTGGATTATTCAGACATTTGTCATGTGAATAAAAAGGAAATAGTTTATTAATAGTTTAGTTTTATTAATGGGATTTTTATATTCATTTAATACTGAACAAATGCATGTTCTCTGCTTCTTCTTGTTTTTAAAATGACCTGTTTTAAAGCCTCTCCTTTTTTTTGAACTTTTCTGCCTGAAATGATGAACTTTAAGGCCATTCAGAAACATTTGTTTTAGCATTTTCTTATTTTCTTAGGAATAAATCAGTAAACTACACGAAGATACACTCCAGCTCCTTTAGAAGGAAACTCTTGTGTGTATTCTGTATCGTTCTTAATAAAGTTAATATGGAGGCCCGGCATTGTAATATTAGTGACAGTTTTATAAGGCTGTTCTGTCATACGTGTGTGTTGAGTGTGTCTTCCAGAGCAAACTCAGAGCACATCAAGCCGCAAACAGAGTAACACTGTGTTTTATTGGCCCTGCATTCGGAAGGTGTTGCTGCGTGAATACATAGAAACTAAACTTCCTCACGATTTATGAGACAGTAAATGGCACTAACGTGGAAGTCCAGCTATTCTGGGATGTTTATGGGCAACCGACTGTTAGCTGAGACAAACTGTCGCAACAAGGGATCTCCGAACACAAAGAGGAGCCATTTCTTCCATTAGAGAAATCTCTGACTGCCGCTCGGAGTTATTAAAAGTTAAAAATACATTTCAAAGCTCTGCTGCTTTGTCTAACCGTTGACCTACATGTGCTCCCCTCTCCGGTTCTCAGAGCTTAACGCAGAAAGCAAAAAGCTTTAACATAATTTAAATGCTGCTGCTTCTGCCCAGGAAACATTTTTAAACTTTAAAAGTAGAGTTTGAGGACAGAGGTTTGTTGGTTTTTTAACCTTTCAGCTCTTTAGTAACTTTTGTCATTTTCAGCTTGAGTAACACAACAGGAGGTCTAACTTAAAAAACACTTAACATTATAGCTGATACGAGAATAAATGTGCCCCTTTTTAAGAAACTCTTTGGTTTTAAAGGTTAATACAAAAGTGGAAGATGCTTTAATGCCCCCAATTTTTCCTTCTACATAATTATAGGTGCACTGTACGACCTTCAGAGGATAATTGAATTTTTCTTTTCTAATTCTGGTGGGGAAAAAAAGGCACAGCTAAAATCTGCTCTTTGTGAGGCACTTCACTTGGGCTCAGCCACTCATCAAATTACAGCAGTAATCACGGGTGCGTCCATCCTCACTCAAGTGTCACTACGCCCGGCTGTGCCTGATAAGTGGGTTACTTAGAGGGAGGGGCTCTAGTTTTCTTCAGAAAAACACAATTACTGACTCCGAATCGTGGTCAAAAAGGAAAGACTGAGGCCAGATTTAGGGCATCAACTCTGCTATCGCAGAGGAGCCTCAATATTTGACCATGTTAGCCTTTAAGCTCTACATTTGTGATTAGATTTTTCGGCACAAACCAATCACGGCTTTCATAGACCGTCCTGAAATGATACCTGATGACAGAGTCTGTGCGATTGAAGCCCGGTATGGAGGAAGCCTTCTCCCCCGGCGACCCCAGGATCTGCAGCGTGGTGTTGATGTCCACTTCTGTCGAGTGTTTGATGGAGAACTCCATCACCTCCGAGGGGATCAGAGGAGTTTCACCCTGAGGGTCATCTGCTAGTAGGTACCCTGAGAAGAGTGCAGACTGCATTTTACAGCATGGCTGATGTTTGTTTTTTCACTTTAAAGAGCACAAACCAACCAAAAAAAGCCCCACTTTTATACTTAATGCACTAAATGTACTCTTTTTCCTTCCACTGGAACTTTAAAATTGCAATCTTTTAAGTTTTAGATCAGCACTGGTTTTAGCACTGGTTCACTAATTAGTTAGTATTACTGATTATTATTAAAAAGTTATTATTATTGTATTATTATAGTCATATTGATTATAATTCTAATAATAATAATAATAATAAAATAATAACAATTATAAATAATATAATATTTAAAATACATTTACATATTTATTTTATTACTATTATTAATAGTTGGTATTACTGATCTAAAACTAAGTGGTTAACTAATAAGCACTGCTAGTTGGTCAAAATAAATGAATCTTTATTAAAAAGTGTGATACACATTTTGTGGACATGTTTTCCATCTAAACCAAACAAGTCGATTAAAAATAATCAATACTATGCAATATTTTCAATATTTGTTGCAACAGAATTCTTTGGACTGATTCTGTTGAAGAACTCTAAACCCGTCAAATCTGGCAACTTTCAGAGTTATATAGTCATTTTGGAGGGGAGGCACACTTAGCCCAAAGAGCAGGACTAACACACAACAAAGCTCGGCGTGGTTTTAATGGTGCAGACAATTTTTCATGAAGCCAAACCCACAGAACTGGGTGGAGTTCAATTGTTCTGTCTTAGTCACAGTTAAAGTCTGTAAAGTGGAACAAACTGCCCTGGAAAACCCTTTGTGAGCACAATTAAAAACAGCCATTTCTATTGTTTTGGAAAGCCGTGCGGCTTCTCATTAACTTTTTCAAAGAGCCTCCAGTGCTGTCTGCATTTCATTTGGATTTATACGAAGGATTTGTGGAAATTGAAGCAGAATTCTTTGAAGCGAAACTGCTGAGAGTGGACTTGTTTTTATTAGAAAAATTATAGCCATAAGTTACTGACAGTTCAGATGTGAAACCTTCTAACGGCACAAACTGTGACATATTTACTGACCTGAGACCAGGATTAACCAGTGGATGTCCTCGTAGAGGTCGTCCAGGACTTTGCGGTCCACTGATCCCAGGTCAGACGCGGCCATGAGGTGCTGCTGGGTCCTCTGGAGCTGCCCATGCAGCCGGTTTACTCGGTCCTCCAGCAGGCTGCAGAGCCATTTCAGAGGACAAATATCACCGTCCGCTCATTTAGAAAAGTGATAATTAACCCTATAATGCCAAATGTATCATATTTGATACATACGGTTTCTGAAATGTTTGCGTCTGACTCGTTTTGCATAATTTAATGGTAAAAACTTTGCTCAAAATCCTATTGTACACAATCAGATGTACCTGATAACAGGGGGCAGAAGACCACACAAAAAATAATCTTGACTTATCGCATAGTAATAAATTATTAATATTAAAAATGTATTTCTGTTTTTTTTTTTTTAAACATATTTTGTTAACTACTAAAAAATGAGTCCCTCGATGCTTTCACAGCTTAAGACTTCAAACCAAAAAAAAAGTAATTTTCTGTTTTGTTTTATTCTGGGATCAGGCTTTAAAAGGTTAAATATATATATTTTAAAAGCTCAGGAAATGGGGGATCTGGTACCTGGTGAGCAGGGGGATGCAGTGGTCTGCAGCCACTCGGCCCAGCATGCCGATGCTCGACAGCTGGTCTGAGAACAGCTCTCTGTCGTCCTCCTGAATCTCGTTGATTTCCTCCTCGTCGTGAGACGAGATGCCGTTCACCGACTGAGAGGGTGGGAAGTTGAGAGGTTGAGAGTGACTCAGAGTTTCCATCAATTAAAAAAATTAAAATAAATAAATAAGGTAGGAGCCAGAGCGAATCTCACCAGGTTCCGGGTCCCGTCTGGAGCAGCCAGATGACACTGGATGTACGAGTTGAAGACCTGAATCGCTGGCTGGACAAAGCAGCCCCGAGGGAAGTGCTCCTCGTCCTGGATGAGCGTTAGCCACGACTCCAGCAGCTTGTCGTAGGCCTCCATGTAAACCATGTCGTCTTTGTCCAGCTGAGAGAAACAGAGTGGGTTTGTTTTACAACTCGGGTTCTTTAAACATCCTTTGTCCAAAAGCACGAATGAAACCTACAAACCAAAACCACACAAGGATATTTGCACCATAAAAGAAACAAGACTCCACTCTGTTTGACAGACGTGGAGGGTAGAGACACAACCCAGGGGACAGGAACCAGTACAAACGTTTTATTTATTCATATTTCAATCCTGGAAAACAAAGATGGCAGCTGCAGAGTGACGGCCGAACTCTGAGCACACACAGATCTGATTAGTAATCTACAATCATCACAACATGATATCAGAGACAGAAAAACACATTAAAAAAAGGATATTTAATAAAGTTTCTGCTCTTTTTGTGTTCATTAAGTGAAATTAGCTTTAGTGATTTGAAACTAAGATTTCTGGACCTTTCTAACTACTAAAGTTATTATTTTCCAAGCATTTTTTAAAAGTATGGATTCAGATTTATTGAGTGATCGGACTAAAGTGTTATCTTGTGAATTAAACCAAGAAGAAAAGGCCAACCTTTTATTTGGTGGCACTTTCTTATTTTGCACACGTTCCTGGTGATCTGGAGACAAACATGGTTGGTTGAGGTAATACCAGCCACAACATTTGCAACTTTAGCTCTAAAGTTGAGACTCCATGAATAAAAAGCAGCTGTTACAGAAACATGAAGCTCAACAACGCAGGTTTTTTTTTTTTCCTGGTTGAACCTGAAAATCCCGCGCCAAAATACGGCCAAAATAGGAGAGGACGGACGGGTGGTCATTACTCACCACCTCCTCCAGGGCGGCGCTCCTTCCGAAGGAGCAGCTGAGCAGCGTGAGGCAGTTGATGAAGGAGGTGAAGAGTTCGCTGGGCAGCGCCATTAAGATGCTGCGAGGGAACATGGTGATCAGGTTGGAGATGATGTTCGAGATGCCCACCGCCTCAGAGTCCTCGATCTCAATCCTGGAAACGCAAAGAGAAAAGTCCATTTCTTACTACAGGTTGTCTTTGAATGAAAAGCAGACTAGGATGCTGATATTTGCAAAAAAAATGCATATCCAGATCCAGACTCCAGATCCTTTTTTTTTTTAAGTCCGATCCCACACGAGCATTAGCATTAGCATTTGCTAACCCACAGGTCTGTGTCCTAACCATTTAGTTGTTATCAGAGAAAATCCCTGTTCAATATGAATCTGACAATTAAGTAAGTAGATAGATAACTTTAAACTTTAACACATGCTCTGATAGGCCGGGATCGGAATCGAATTGGAAGTGAAAAAAATGGATCGGGACATCCCTAATGCAGACAAAATGCACATTGTGAGCCAAAATAATGTTTCAAATGGAGTCCTGATCAGCAGAAGAGGTGATCGACAGCCTCTTTACGCGGCTTTTCCTCAGTTTCCAACATCCAGACTGAGGCTGAACTGGGTCAACTTCTCACTACAGGCTGGAAACCGGTAGGAAAGCTAAACCCGAACTAAAACTCACAGGCAGCGCGCCCCCTGAAAGGTTCCCACAGCTGTTTCTGAGCCGTTTTATGGAGGCTCTGCCTCATTTTAAAGAGCGGGGAAAGTTTGGGATGAAAAGAAAGGCCACAAGCGTGGAGGCAGTTTTTTTTTTCTTTTCTAAAGACGCATCGCATCAAGCAAGCATGAAGTCAACGTGGAAAGAATTTGCTGGGAGGACAGATTTTAAAACCAGATTAAGAGAGTTTTGTATATAACCACTGATAATTAAACGAGTTTAGGATCAAGGCTCATAGCTGATATATCTACAACATTCACAATTCAGCTGGATTTTTCTGCTAAATGTTTAATTATTTATCAATCTAACATCTTTAATCTATATCTCAAAGGAGCTAAATTGACCTTCAGTTCTGGGTCTTTAGCAGTTTTAGAGATTATTAGATGGATCGTGGATAGATCATGCAAATGAAGTCAGTTGGATTGTTGAAAAACAGTATTTTTCCTCCTCATCTCCTCTATTCTCACACATTTCTGCCCATGGAGCCCATCCATGCTTCTCAGATGATTTAACGAGGCGTAAATGATGGCTAAATGCTGCATTTACAAGCACTGACAATTACACCTGACACGCGGATTAAACAGCTGACATGGTTTATGAGGTATAATGGAGGAAAATACTGTCAGATAACTGTAATAGAAAGACAAGAATAAAACACAGATCACTAAATCAAAATGCTCGGCGCTGCAGGCCGGAAGGCTCTGGGTTTCATCAGAGCTCTGCCTCCCTCCCAGAGCCGTTTCGGGGCTAAAATCTCCTCTCCTCTAAACGTCAATTAGCCACTTAGCCACTCAACGACCTCCATTCCCTCTAATTCCTGGTGAAAATTAAAGGGGTCGGAGAGAAGAGTCGCTGCTGAAGAGGCCGTCTCCTGACCAATCGCAGCCACAGACCTGGTTTAACCCAGAGTGGCATCGGAGTGGATTCAGCTGCTACCAGCACAGGAAAAGCACGATCAGAAACAAAGCTACAAACCTACTGACATCCATTTGATGTCCTGCAGCCACTGAAAACATCTGAGTTAAACCTGGAAACACTGAAAGCGTCTCCGCAGAATAAAGTGTGGAATTTTGTTCTGGAAACCTGAAAAACAAATAATTCACACAACCTGAAGCAACCATAAAATAAAAGACTTGATTGACTGATGGAGCTTTGCTTTAATTCAACATTTCTGACTGTTTTCTGATTCACTTCAATCAAAACTGATGCCTTTAACCTGCTCGTCTTTTCCTCTTTGTCTGCTTAGAAGTGGCTTTCCTCTAAAACAGGCCACGCTTACTTTAGAATAAACGTTTTCTTACATTTAGAGGGGAACCATTTGCAAAAACCTCCAACCTTGAAGCTTAACGTATCATCTTTTTGCATTTGAAGTGGTGCCCCCCCTGACTCAGACCCAGCCACGGGGAACTTCTGCGAACGAATCCTATCAGACGAGCGAAACTGAGAGCAAAGCGGCTCAATCGCTGCGGATCGGCCGCCCCCTCCGCATGGTTTTCCGATGAGGCAACCGGAAAAAAGCTCCAAGAATAGGTGATTAAAGATGTAGCAGGAGAGAGGGGAGGACAGGGAGAGAAGCGAGAGAGGAGAAGGAGACCCCGGCTCAGAGTGGGTCTGTTGTTTGTAAGCCGGTGGGGTGGCTGCTGTCAGACACACCCTCCTGAGCACAGCCTTCAAACCAGCGTTTACTACTTTATTAACGAGTAGCTAAAATACCAAACAATCTGCCCTTTATTCCGGATAATTGGCACGCTAACCTGAAAACCTTGTGTCGTCTTTTGAATGTAAAGAAGAGAAAGCATAAAACGAAAGAAAAAAAGGCTCTTATTCAGTATTTTCCACCATATCAGACCCTTTTCTTTGCAGCATGCTGCTGGGAGGAGACCCCGGAGTTAAGCTGCAATTCAGCTAAAAGCTCAAGTGAAACATCTGTGGAGCCGAGGAGAACCACAACCAAATTCATCCCGACGAGCAAACACTTTCACATATGAGTCAATGTTCTTAGAAATGCGCATAAAGCCAGTTTCTAGGAAATTACAAATCCCTATTCAAATCCTCCACACAGAATAGTGAAAGATGCTCAGGTATCCATCAATAATACACCCCTTTTTTAAAAACAAACCAAACCAAGAGGACGAAAGTTGCAGTTTTTAAGTAAATTAGAGGATAAGTGTGTTGTAAAAGCAACTGGAAGGAGACACAAAAATAGGACATTCTTCTGTCTTAAATAATTATAGTAATTAGAGTAATTATAGTAATAATCATATTAATGATCATATTATTACAGCAACCTTGTTTGCTGTCATTATTTCAGTCTCATCATTTTCTGCCATTTAACATCTAGTTTTTTAAAACAAAAAACAAATGAAATCAACCTCTGAGGCTCTGGGAAAACACTGAATTTACAACAGAAGAGTGAAAATGGAAACTAATGAACATCTGGGTATGGAGAAAATAAATAAAGGCTCCAAGTGGTTTCTCTGGAGTCCAAAACGTGGCTTCTGCCTTGACCTGCAGGTAGCTGCCGCCTCACTCTGCTGCTAAAAGCAGAGCACTAATCTCCTCTAATGCATCCTCCTCTAACCCGCAACACTTACCGGCCGCACCAGATGTGGGGACAATCGATAGCTTCTGGCAAGTGGCACATTCACACATCCTGCAGAGCTCCATTTCCTCACAAAACCTCAGGGACAGGCAGCCAGAGGAGGCCCTCACAGCTCCCTCACACCTTCTGAACATTTAAATCAATGACGTATAATCGAGTTAATCGTTCGAGGGACTCTGCCGGGACTTACATGGGTTTTTCTAGCATTTGGAGGTAATAATGAAGATTTCCATCGATACAAACTCAATGGGGACACTGTGTTCTGCTGGAAAGGAGCATTGATCAGCTTTCGTCTTGGTGTAAATGTGCCAAAACGACTTTTTTCTGCAATAACCACCACTTAAAGATGCAATCAGATCACAGCTTTAAATCTGTCCCCGAGGTTTCCTACAATCCAGCCTGCTCACTCCGGCTTTGTTTTTGTTTGTGGAAGCGCAGACGTGCTCCTGCTCTTTAAATTCACTTCTTGTTCTCTGAACTTTAACCGAGTCCTTTGAATGCGTCCACTCGATTGCGATGACTCATTGATCGAGTATGATGGAAACTGGAGGTCCAATCAGGGCTGTGGGACGTTTTACATTCAAGTCTGTGAGCTTTAATAGCTGCTGTAATTAGAAAAGTGGCACAGATTTGCTTTTTTAGTATAGTTTCTACGTCAATACGTCAATTAACTGAGAAAAAATTGGTCCGAAGTATTGAGAGAGCTGAGTGAGAGGTCACATTTTGGATTAAAGCATCAATAATAATTAAACTATCAGACAAACTCTACTTTGATTTCCCCCCCACCTTCATTTGGTAAATTAAATACACTAAATCTCAATCTCTGTTTTACATAAAACTACCTCATTATCAGAAATCTCAGCAGTACTTTACTATGGTTTCAATCAGACTTTTTTAGCCCATGAAATGTGACATTACAGTTTAGTTATCGTAGTTTACAACTCAGAAAACACATTTCGAGTGTTTGTACCTATGCAAATAAAAGGTTTCAGACCACAAAGAGTCATGCCAAATGCAGTTAGGTGGAGCTTCCAGCTGGAACGGAAAACAGTCCACTTCAGTTTTATTACAGGGTCAGGCAGCTCTGGACTGGATTGGAGGACAACTGTTGACTGATACACAAAACACATCCATACCCCGTGTTTACCAGTGTTTGAGTGGTTGCTGGTGTTGGTTTTAGTATAAAAAAGTATCTCCGTGAGGAGCATAAGGGCATAATTTGATCTACTTCAGCTTAAATTCGGTTTGAGAGCCATCTGGGAAAAATAAGCCTCTGGTTACTCTATTTGTTATTGAACTGGAAGACAGTTTCCCATGATAGAAAGAGGGCAATAAAACAAAGACTCAACAAGCAATTACTTCCTGTAAATACAGCCGAATCGGTTCAGTATGAGCTAAAACTGTGTTGACGTTGGACTCCGTCATTTGTTGAGTCTGAATAAAAAATTTGAAAAAGCAGAAGATCCTTGACATTCTATAGAAGATAAACAGCAGCCACATCTGTTAATCTGTTCAAATTCGCAAGGCAGGCTAGCGGCCTTCTTCATTAAATTAATTTCTGGTATTTAAACAATCTAATTCTGCAACTCCTGCGGATTTAAGGTAGTAAATAAATAAGGAAAAGCGTCTGCCTTTAGAGCTAATTCAGGGTTCAGCAGCTCGTGCCAAGCTTGTAGCCAACCTGAATCCACGGGGTGGCTGCTTTTACTCAGCTGGTTTAAACAGGTCGGGCTGAGCCTAAAGTCTCATCTATCAGTGCAACGGCCAACATAAACTGTGTCACAATGAAGGACAAAACTATTCCAAAGAATTAAATAAAGACATAACCGCCTAAAAACATTTCCTGGGTATGGATTTTCTCATAAATAAGAAATTACATCGACAAAATGTTTAAATATAAAAAAAGAGGGTATATTTTAGATGTGGTATGCATTTCTTTTCAAGACTAAAGACTAAAATGAGCGTAAAACTAAGTGTAACATCTGCCTGAGAATTAACAGAGCTGTTCATCTTTACATTTCAAAGGAACCAAACTCTCACTTGTTTATAAAAACAAGAATACGGCAGATAAAATAAATGAGGTCCAAGCTGTCCACCTTCAGCAGTTTTCATACAAAGTCTGAAATCGACAGCTTCTTTACAGTCAGTGTCATCAGACTGGATTCCATCCAGACAGATTAAACGGGTTGAAAATTTGTGAATTCACTCTGAATAAAAGGGAAATCGAAGAAACTCAAATGAACAAATTGTCACGGCTCTGTTTCACAGCTTGAACTTGATGCAGCCTGAACTATCGCCCCATTCAGCAGCTGACAAAACATCGGTTCACCCAGCAGACGTTTTTCTGATTATAAAACACAAAGCAGATAGGGGTCCATCCAAATCCTGATCGCTAATGCACGGGAAACAGGTCAAATCGGTCCAAAAGACAATGCTGTCTGGAAAAGGTAATTGATGTGAGGGACTAGTTTAGTATCATTCTTTCCTCCAGACCTGAACAGAAAACACGATCCCCTGGCTTTATCACATCTTCTGTACGACAACTACAACCCAAAAGAAACTCCAACTCGCACCTACTTTTCTCGCCAAACTCGACTGAAATAACAGTAAAGGGACGATAACGCTGGCAGTCGGGAGGACAATCCAATCCAATCCACTTTATTTATAAAGCACGATTTCAACAAACACAAGGTTTCCAAAGTGCTGCACAAAAAGATAAAAATATGCATGTATATACATAAAATCAATGCTCTACATGGTGTCAGAAGCCAAAGAAAAGAGGTGGGTTTTAAGAAGAGTTTTAAAATGAGACAGAGAGGTGGCCTGTCTAATGTGCAGTGGCAATCAATTCCAAAGTTTTGGAAAACGCTGGCTCCCCTCTGAGCTTAAGCCTTGCTTTAGGGTTAGGGTCAGGAGCTGCTGGGTGCAGCAGCTCAGAGAGGTAAAGTGGGGCAAGGCCATTCAAGGCTTTAAAAGTAAATAAAATAATTTTAAAATTAATCCTAAGATGGATGGGCAGCCAGTGGAGTGCAGCTAAAATAGGTGAAATGTGCTCATACTTGCGTATGACAAGGACAGGACGCGTTCTGGGGGAACTCACCCGTTGATCATGCTGAGCAGGCCCTCCACCATGTGGGCCAGGTAGGAAATCTGGGCGCTCTCATCCGGGAAGATGGGCCCGTGCATGGAGGCCAGCTGGGCCAGGCACTGGAGGGAGTCCTGGGCCATGTCGGAGTCCTCCCGAATCTTTCTGTGAACCTGCGAAAGGGAAACAGTTTCCTTGTTTATTAGCACGACGGTAACGTTTGGCACAAAGGAGGAAAAAACAGAGGCAATTTCTGGTTTTACTCCTGGGATGTATTTTAGGTTCAGAATCACTTCAGTCAATTCACTTTGAAAACACTCGACCGGGGAACAACTTCTGGACACGATCAGCTTTAAAAGTTTACCGTTTATCTCGGTTTAGTCAGAACGTTGGACTGTTTTCTTATGAGAAAATACGTGATCACAGCACATCTTAGCACATAGACAGAACTGGGAAAAACCAGAGCTCCTGAAACAGCCTTTATTTCCAACTCTCAGTTAAATTCTAAATGATTATAAATACAAATGATGACGACCTGCCGGCCATCCGAATCCCTCTCTGCTGTGCTTAAGCGCTGCCCCTAAACCTTCATTCATAGCAGTACAGGCTTATAAATAGCCTTCATGCTGGAGTCCGGACAAAGGCCCCTCCTGGCTCTGATCACAAAGAAGAACCTGATATTTTCACAAATAGGAAAAATAAAAAACTGCTTTCAAGAGCAAATTTGTTATTAGACTCCACAACAATAAATGATAGAAGAAAGCTTATTATAC